GCTGCGACCAAGCCCCTTCCTCAGCTGGAGCAAGCAGGTCTGTGGGTCCTGGCAGGGGACCTTGCATTGGAGGTGGGTCTAAAGGACTGAAGCATGTGCTTTTTCCCTTCTGCAGCCCAGAAACGTGGGGAACAGTAGTACCAGAAAGACCAACACATCAGGGAAAACTGCACTTCTCATTTTTTTTCTAAATTCTTGCTTTCCGTGATGATTCCACATCACTGCACAGAGCTCTGGTTGCCATTGTCATTTTCTAAGTATCGCCGTGTATGCCTTTCTGAGTCCTGCCATCATCTCAGGGCTACTCTGATGAGCTGTCACCACACAATCAAATACATCTGTCATTGTATTTGCTGCTTCGTAGAGTTGTACATCACTGTGGTTTGCATCGTGCAGAAGCATTATTCCATTGCATAATGTAGATACACCGTTGCCACACCTAGCAAAGGGGGAAGTCCTCAGTGCCTCCTGAGAAGGAGCACGAGGATACATGCAACACAGCCTGTAAAGCCCTGGGGTGCCACAAAAGTGATCTGATAGGGACACCTGGCTTCTCATCTCTGTATTCAATGCTGCATAGGAGTGCTGTTGCCACAGTGTTACCTGCTGCACAAGCTGTGAAGACAGTGTGTTGTGTCAGAAAGGGAGTGTGCTGTTGTATTACTGCAGCCCAGGCCTGGGCAAGATGTTACTGCAATCCACTCCAGCTGGGGACTCGTCAGGTACATCTACATCAACAGCTATGTTTTCTACAAGCTTGTTCTTATCTGGTCTGAACCTCTACCTCCATACTGCCATTGAAGTCCATCCTGAAGCTTTCAGTATGGCACTCAGACGGAAAGCAAAGACCATTTAGGACTCACTCTGTGGATGACTTTTCTCTCAATCAGGGCAGTCTGTGCATCTAGAGAACAAAGAAGGTTGTCATGTGGAAAGATACAGACAGGAGAGCTGCCAAAAAAAGACATTTGTGAGATTAGAGCCTAGAATGGTTTGTGCTTGCAGGCGAGTTTCAAGTAGAGTAGGGCAGGGTCACGGCTGCTGAGATCAGGAGACCTACTGAGGAAATGTGCAGTGTTGAGGAAGGCTTATCATTCTTGTTATGTCCATCCAGATGGGAGAACTGGAAGCTGTGCATCTGTGGACGCGGCTGTACACTTACAGGCATCCCAGCGGCACCATCACATCCGCTGTAACACCGGCCAGGCCACCTAGAAACGAGTGGAGAGACCTTCTGCATTGATGGCAGAGGTGTGAACCTGACCATGCTTCAAAGGTTAGTCCCAGCTGTGAGTGGGGACACAGCCTTTGGTCACTTGCAGGGACTCAACATGCCTCTTCCAGCCCTTGGAAGAGAGCAGAATGCGGCACTGGGGTTGCTGAGCCAAGGGTCACGTGTCCACACGGTGCCAGTCCTCGGCCCATGAGAGGACCAGTCTGGCTTGGAGACAGCACTGCCACCTGCTAGCATACGATCAGGGCTGTGCTGGGGCTTTGACAGCCGCGGGCAGTGCTGTCAGGCAGCACAGGCACCTCCATGCTCTCTGAGCCACCGGTGCGGGCATTCTCTGCTACCCATGCATTTCATCCCAGACAGGCCAGGTTTGATGGACCCTGTGCTGGAGGCCAGGTAGGCCCTATTAGCTTAGTCTTTTTTTGTCACTCTGATCCTCTCACTGAAAAAGTCAAGGCTTGTCTTTTTAGGTACAGAGGTGGTTGGTTCAGCTGCAAGAGTCTCAGGTGAGCATTTGAACTGCTGGAGATGGCTGCAGTGCCAGAGGAGCTCATGATGGACACTCACTCAGCATGCTGCTTTGTCCCACCCAGGGGTCAGGTGGTACAGGATAATCCTTCTGCTCCGCACGCCCGTGTGAGTGCAAAGAGAAGCAGACTTGTGTGCTTAAGCAGTTATTTAAGGAAAAGGGTTTGGACTGCAGGAGCAGGGGTTGGTTTTGGTTGAGGGGACTCTGCCAAGCCCTTTGTCATGATCGTTATATCGACCACCACCACTGACCCTGCTCTCATTTTCCCTCCTGCAGCTCCCCAAACTGACCTCTCCTTAAGCCCTGATAATGCCTTGTTTAGCAGACTGACGGGCCTCAGCCGGCTCCCAAATTACACTGGCAGTTCAGGAACAGGACAGGACCAGGAGGAGTGACTGCATGCACTAGGATACGGACCAAGGCTTTTCCACAATTAATGTAGTTTTGTGTGCACAAGCACAAGGTATGGGAAGGAAACGGCATTAGCTGCAGGCCTTTGTCACTCCTGTTTGTGTGAGGATGATGGTGGAGGAGCAGGCATGACACCGGTGGTGGCCCACACCTGCTGCCACAGCTGCCTGGGGCTGCGTCCCCACTCCAGGGGAGAGATGGGGTTGTGGGGGGAAAGATTTCCCCCCGCTCACAGATGTTGTCTCTGCCGTTGTTGCCACCTGTCTTTTCTCTGTCAATAACAGCGTGCTGCTGGCGTGACTGCTACAGAGAGACCCCCTCCTCCAGCACCGGGTGTCCTGCGGGGGGGTCTCCGCCACGGGGAGCCCTTCCCACAGCCCAGTGCCCCTCTCTGCCTCTCCCCAGCAAGCCCAGCACAAACCCAGCCCAGAACAAACCTGGACTGCAGCCAGTGACAGCTGTAGGACCTCAAGGCCTTTTTGACCCGCTGCTAGCAGACAGTAGAATAATTTCTATAAACACAAGGCTTCTGTGTACATATTTTAACAGTATTTTTCTTTCAGGACATTCTGGCATCTCTGCAACAGGCTTTTACTTCCATCCTAAATTTCCTGGGCTTTTCACTCCCTCTTCCCATCTCTTTGAGCCAACAAAGAGTCATTTTGGTGACAACCATTTCTGGCGGCTTTCTCAGAAGCATCTGTTCTCTACACTCTGTGGGCTTGCTCAGTCCAAGGCTGTTTTGTTCTCCTAGAAAATGACTTTGTCACTCCCTTCCCAAACTTACCTTCTAGATCAACATTCACAACTTCTTCAGGCTCTGATTTCCACAGGCTGTTGGTATCCTGAACCGCCTTCCCGACAAAATTAGTCCTGAATTTTCCCACTGCTCACGGTGTTTTCACTTGTGCATTGGTTTGTTGTGGGAGAGGTGAAGAGCACAGGCTGACGGATGGGTCTGGGAGCTACTGTAGGGCTTAGACTGCCCAGGAAAGGCAAATGAGGATGGACAGGTTTCACAGAGAGCAGAGGGCTGGTGCATTAAGGAAGGCTCGTGGCAGCCAGGGAGGCGGGAGATAGTGATATCAGGATTCCACATCCTAGCAGGAAAGGGAGAAATGTGAATTTGAACCAGACAAGCATGCCTCAGAGAAAATTTAGTCCAGCTTGCAAAAAAGAAAAACCCAAAGTAATTTATTGTGGCTCAGGCAGATAAAAGAAGAACATAAAATTGGTTCCACAAGAAGGTCAAAATAAGTGCATGAGCAAAATACAAGCATATTTATGTGTGTGTGTATATATATATCTTCTATTCAGTGTTTCTCATTATAGAACTGGGGATCTATCATAACCCTTAAGGGTTTCTTGTCTTCTCCATCGGCTCCTAGCTAGACAACATCCCTCCATGGCATTAGACTGGGGGAATGATGAAGGAGTAAAGAATTACATCAAAACAGGAGAAAGGGAGGTGGATTCACAGAGCACTATGGGCTGGCAGGTGTTTAGGTACAGGCAGAAACTTCATCAGTCCTTCTGACTCCAGTGCTGCAATACTACTTATTCAGCCGGCTGCAAGAAAAAAGTATTATGTGAGTACCAGTATTGTAGAGGTGAAAGGCTTTATTTGGATACCTCAAAGCCAGCCAACCCCCCACTTTTTTGTGTAGTGTAGAGAATGCCCACCTCTGTAGCTGAGGATGCAAATGGTTACTTGTGCATCCACATGGCTGTGGCTTAGGTTTCAGTTACACTGAGCTGCTTACTTAGCAAAGAGAGTTAAAGAACTGTATTAGCACTTGCATTGCACAGGTTTATCTAATCTTTGATGTAGCTGTATTGGCTTTGTCCTGCCCTTACGGGTATTAGTTTTTAACCTTGATAAAAAGTACGTGAAAATGAGGTGAATTCTTTGACATGTTATGCTAATCAACTCTTCACCACATATACATCCCAGCTATGAAGTAGTATTTGCCCATAAACATTCTCACTGAATTGAGTGACAGTGAAAAAAATAGGTGAAACTATCAGTTTGCCACTGTCACCAGTGAAAATTAAGCAGAAGTACAGTTCTGTACCTATACATTCATCAAACTTGTTCACGCAATCATTTATACTGTCCTTAGCTCTCCACTTCCAGTGACAGAGTAGCTGTCAGTGTTTCTCCACAGCTGCTTCTGATGCCTGATACCATCTTAAAGACCTGGGAAAGGGCAGCTTCTCTGCTGAGAAATCCTTGCTCCCTTGGAAAGGGCCAGGACATGATGGTGTCATATACCCAAGGCCTTCTGGACAGGGCATGGTTCAGAGTGTTCTGTGATTATTTTCTTCGCTTTCCTTGCTCCCAGGAGGTTATTGGCAATTTTCACAGATTGCAGTCCAGCACTGTGCTAGCAGAGCTGGAATTACATTATGGATATCATGGATTTTTAAAATTTGGGCTTCATCCTTGAGCTTGGTTGTGTGCCTTCCACCTCCACAACCTCGATATCCAGGTCCAAGGTCCACTGTGGAACCTACCAAAGGACTCTGGAGCTCCTGCCTGGGTTTGGCTAACATCTCTCAACATCAAGGTAATTCAAGTGAAACCTGTCTGCTCAAAAGTTTCCTAGCACTCTGCTACCATGGGTTTGGGTCATAACAGGAAATTCATTAAACATAGCTCATAACTCTTAAGCATGACTTAACGTGAGTAAGAACTGAAAATGCTGAAATGCAGCTGTATTGTAGCACCAAGCAGGCTCAAGCTCCATTTCTCCCTGCTCGACCACCCAGGTCCCCTGTCTTGAAACCAGAGTCTTTGCCCATTCTGGGTGTTGTCATTGCCACTTACTGTTGACACTGACATGTCTTCTTTTCCAGCAATAATTGTCTTGCTCGTGCCATCCTTTTTACCCGTTGCTGCCAGGAGAGAAGGGATAAATAATGATTGGATATTTTTATGCTTCAAATGCTTTCCTCTGAAATGGTAGTAAAGTACTGACATCTGCAGACTGTCCATCTCTAACCATTTGCTTCGAGTCTAAGAATTGACCCTTTATCTGTTCTGCCCTGCACCCAGAGAGAAAATCAGACTCCTCCTATGGTTTGGGAAGACTGTCATCTCTTCACCTTTCACAGGGACCGGAGCACTCACCCTTCTCTGCTGCCACCTTATACCGTTCCTGATGCACAGGCCAAACACCAATACGCTGACTCCAATACTTGCTCCAGTTACCACATAGCTAATCCAAACAGGAGCTTCCTCTGTGGAAGGAGAAAAATATATTCAGACGCAGAAGCAAGGAGAATTTTAAGGCTTTTGGATGGAGGCAGAGCTGTGATTCTGATTTCCATACCCACGGTGTAATTAAGGCTGATCTTCCTGTTATTGTCTTCTATGAGATGACAGTTCCACAGCCCTGCAGCACTGACATTCACCTCCACTTTTACTTCATGCTGCTTTGATATCGTGATGTCCGTCGGAGTCCCATTCACACGTTCCCAGCGCAAGTGGGCGTTGGATGGGAGTGGACCAGAGACCTGGCAAATCAGGGTCATCTTGGCCCCTCTGGGGAGTGGCCCAACAGGGTTAGCTGAGACTGTAAAGTTAAGAAAAGAACATGTGAGTGAGAGGATGGGAAGATGGGTCCACCCAGACTCGTGGCTTCCAGGTTTCTGCAGCAACTCATGTCTTGACCCACTTCTCTTTCTCTCACCTTTCATCACCACCAGCTCTGTCTTGCTCTGCACGTATCTTCTGTTGTATGCCAGCTGGCACTGGTACTGCCCAGAGTGGTTGAAATGGACTTTGGGGAGTATCACTTCTATGGTACTTTCAGGGGTTTTTTCACGTATCCCAAACCAAAAGTAGCTGCTTTTTTTGGTCTCATGCTTCTCTCCTCGTGATGTGACGTTGAAATCCAGCAGCTTATGAATGGTTGCACTTTCCTGTTGTTTCCAATTCAGTTGTCCTGTGAAACCTGCTTTCCATTCTATCTTCTGGAAGTTCAGATGCCAATACAAGATGACACTGCTATCAACAGTTGCATACTCTCTTTCCAAAACTGGATGCTGAAAGCCTGAATTCAGAAGAGACAAGGAATACAGAGGCAGGGAAAGTCATGACTACACTCCCCTGTGCCCACCCTTGATCTGGACAGATGCACACTGTGCTCAGTTGAAAGAAGACTTGGAGAAAAGCCACGAGATACCCCAGGAAGGGTAAACAGTTAGTGTCTGAGAATAGGTTTAAAGAGACAAAGCTCCCAAGCTCACCAGAGCTGAGAAGAATAGACCCCAAGGAGACGAGGATCCTCTCCTCACCAAGCCTGAAGAAGAAAATGGGAGCAATTGTGGAACAGAGCTCAGGCAGCAGAGCAATCCCCAAGGTGCAGTGTTGGAAGCCCTAGGAAACTGACCCTGGAGCACCATTGCTTGGGATGCTGGAAAGTAAAAGCTCAGCTCATGAGCTGGAGGGAGCACTGGTTCCTGAGCCTGTATGTGATTTACATTTTTGTTGTTGCATACCTAATACCTTCACATCAAAGGAGATGTTTTGATTAATCAACGGAGAGTCTGAATGGACATGACACATCCAGGTCCCGCTGTCCGTAGCCTCCAGTTGCTTTAATTTCAGTATGTATTTTTGACGGGTCTTGTTTTGTGAGAGTTTTGGTCTTACTGCATTATTGTTATTGTTAAATAATGTGATGTTGAGATCAGGTAGAGGATGGGATGAATTTTGCATTAAAGTCAGCTCGGGGACTTCATTTGGCAGGAAGTGCCCATCTAAAGAGATCGTCACTGTAAAAAGAAAAAGTGCAGCCAGTAAGTCAGCTCCTCTTCCTGTGAGAGAGGGACAAGTGTCACAGCAAAGAGAATACAGAGACTTTGTGCCCTGGAGGTGGAGGAGAAATGATCTATGATAGCCCAGGCCAGAAGAAATGGCAGCTGGATAAAGAATCCCAGCAGAGATGTCTCTCCGAGCTCTACTGTCTCCTCCACCCTCACCTCCTCATGGATAAAAGCCCTCTAATCACTCACATTTGAAGACATGCAGTGAGATACTGACTGTGTGAGAGTCATATTTACAGGTGTAGATGCCAGCGTCGGAGAGTCTTAAGTCGAACACCTTCAGGTGTTTACTCTGGGGGTTGATTTCAGATCGATCAGACATGGTAGCTTTGCCTTTTGAAAAAATAAGCTTGGTTAGGAGAGAAGAGGTTTCTCAGCCATATACTGGGGAGAAGAGGTGATGAATTGGAAGTCTTACCTCTCAAATAGCCAGATTGTAATGACCTTATAACAACCTTATAGTAATTCCAGGTCACACCTGCATCATGAGGTATGCCTCTGCAGTTCAGGATCACCGCCTGTCCTGCAACCCCAATCTGTAGTTCATTTTGCTGAGCCATAATGGGGATCAGACCTGAAAGTCAATACCCACAAAAAAAGGCATACAGTCACTTTCTGAAGGGTAGCTCAGTGAATACTTCCCATCCCTCCAGAAAGACGCAGATATTTCTCCTCCCTTTCCCAGATACTGGGAAGATGGTTTTGGCTGGGATAGAGTTAATTTTCTTCCTTGTAGCGGGCATAGTGCTGTGTTTTGGATTTACTATGAGAATAATGTTGATAACACACTGATGTTTCAGTTGTTGCTAAGTACTGCTTATGTTAGTCAAGGACTTTTCAGCTTCCCATGCTCTGCCAGGTGCACAAGAAACTGGGAGGGGGCACAGCCAGGATAGTTGATCCAAACTGACCAAAGGGCTATTCCATACCATGTGACGTCATGCTCAGTATATAAACTGGGGGCGGGTTGGCCGGGGGGCAGCAATCACTGCTCGGGAACTGGCTGGGTATCGGTCAGTGGGTGGTGAGCAATTGCATTGTGCGTCACTTGCATTGTGTCTTATTATTACTATTATTATGATATTGTTATTACTACTACTACTGTTTTACTTTGTTTTATTTCAATTATTAAACTGTTCTTATCTCAACCAGGAGTTTTCTCACTCTTACCCATCCGATTCTCTCCCCCATCCCCCCGGGGCAGGGGGAGTGAGTGAGCGACTGCATGGTGCTTAGTTGCTGGCTGGGGTTAAACCACAACAGAGTATTATCCTAAATTTCTGATTTTTTCACTCCTTTGTCTCAACAATCAATCAATCCCTTTTCTTTTCAGCTCCATAGCTTCCCTCCCCTCCACTTCAGGCTCTTTGCCTGGCTAATGGCTATTCTGCTTCACCTACATTCAGAAACAGGGAAAATGCCAGTGGTTGTGGTGGATTCACCATCATTCACAGTTTTGAGATGTCAACAGTTTTACTGAAACACCCTTTTTCCACTGCTCAAGATTTAGTTGTCCTACTGGTAGCAAAGGCAGGACAGCATATGCCAGACTTCCCTCACTCCCCAGTCAAGACTTGAGGGCAGCACTGGCCAATTTGCTCACTCCTTCTTCCAATTTTTGCATGGAGCAAGCCCAGGAAAATGAAAGGATAAAGTAAAAAGGTAAGAAAGAAGGCTGGCCTAACATCAGGTTCCTGTTCTTGGGATGAGGGCTATGTGACAGTAAAAGAAGTAGGATGTATAATGTTGAAGAAACATTAGGAGCGGTTTCTTGGAAGAACCACTTCCTTTCCTTCACTGTAAAGAGGATTTCTGCAGGAGACCATAAGAAGGAGATGGAGTTGCCAGAGATACGATTGGGAATAATGCGGTTGTGGTCTCCTGCCTCACTGCTGGTTAGCTCTCAGAGCTGCCTAGCCTGCAAATCCCCCAAGTGACCCTAGTACTAGAGAGCCACAGAAGTGCAAAATAAAAAGTTTAGATTAGTTTAATGGAGGGTTATCCACAAGTTACATATTCCTCCAAGAGCATAGGTGATCTGCAACATTGCCAATACAGATTTTCAATAATCACACATTGGACCACAGAAAATGATGATTTTGTCTTAAACTGTGAAAGTATAAATGTTATTAATAAGACTTGGTATCTTTGGCCTTGCTTTTGGTTCTAGGGTTCATAAAAGATTTCCAGTCTTTCCTCTGCAACCAGAGGAATCAAAGCTGAGTGTCTGAGAAATGCAGGCTTGGCCTTATTCAGTTGCCTTCCTTTCTTGGAAAATGAGCACTAAAAAGTCCATCAAACCTTATAACATTAGCAGTCAAACTAAGCAAGCCAGTAGCATCACATTTGTAAGGGCAAATCTGTGATGAGAAACACGTGTTTTTGCCCAGGCAGCTGCAGGCAATATTTTCCACTCTGTGCTCGGTGTGCACCCTGACTCTTACAAGGAACCCCACTCCTGCATCTCTACAGGGCAGCTCCCCAAATCTGGTGATGCTCCAGACACCCTGGTTTCAGCAGGCAGGCTGGGAACAACCTGAGTCCCAAAGCTTGAGCTGTCCATGCTGCCTCTGAAATAACAGGGCACAGATGTAGGGAGCCTCTCCACTTCTAGCCCCTCTGTCCTAATCTTCACTGCATGGCCCCGCAGAGAGTTGAGCACTGCAGGGGTGGGCCAGACAAGGTAAGAAGGCAGCTGTCACAGCTTCATGGCTGGAATGAGCCTGCTCTAAACCATGTGAGGTATGTTATATGGCAAATCGGAAGGAGCCTAAAAACACCCCAAATGTTGTGAGGCTTGTGGAAAGGCCGGGAAGGGTTCGCTGAGCCGAGGACTCACCCAGATGCAGAACCAAGAAGACGGTAAGCATGGTGCTCACCACCGTGCCACATGACTCCATCACTGCGGGAACACTCTTCCCTGCTGCAGACTGCAGGTCTGGAAATGCTGTTGCTGCCAAGGGATGCTATCCTGGAAAACCCAAATGCGCTGTTAATAATAGTTAATTTTCAGACCTTGGTGGATGGGGGGCCACCACTGTCAGCACCCACCATCCTTCAGTGCAGTGCAGCAAAGTGGAAACTCATTGGTAAAGTCACCTGTGTTTCAGCAAAGAATCCAGCTGCAGTGTTCCCCCTAGAGTTTGGTATTAAACGTTTCATTTTACTCATCCCTAGGTTTCTGGCATTCATTGGACTGCAGGTGTTTATACCGCCAAGAGTTCTGTGCTTTTTTACTTCTCTATGGTGGGTTATCATTGCTCTTACAGCGATTAAGGCTAAACACATACAGGGCTGCATTAGCAAAAGCACAGCCAGCAGGCTGAGGGAAGTAACTATTTCCCTCTATTTGGCACACCTGAGGTCTCATCTAGGATACAGGATCCAGTTTTGGGTCCCCAGTACAAGACAGATGTCAACAAACTGGACAGAGTCCAATGGAGGACTACTGGGATGGTGAGAAGGTTGGAGCACATGATATACAGGGAGACACAGAAAGCTGAGTTCAGTAGAGAGAAGAGAGCCAAGGTGGGATCTAATTTCAGTCTCCCATTATCTAAAGGATATTACCTAGAAGAAGGAGCCACATTCTTGTCAGGTGTGCCCAGCAGAGGAACAGGAGGTAGCAGCCATAGGTTGCAGCAAGGAACTGTTGACTAGATATAAGGAAAAATTTCTTCCCACTGAAGGTGGTTCAGCATTGGAACAGATGCCAAGAGACGGCAGGCAGTCTCCACCCTTGGAGATGTTCAGAAGTTCCCTGGACAAGGCCCTGAGTGACATGCTGTAGTTTTGGAGTCAACCCAGCTGTGAGCAGGAGGTTGGACTGGAGAACTCCAGAGGTCCCTTGCCATCCAAATATTTCTGTGTGATTTTGTGATTCTATGACTAAGGCCATCTTTAGGCTGTTATTACTATTTTTCTTTAGTTTGTTTTTTCTCTACTTATTTCTTACTTTACAAATCTCAATAACCACCAAATCTGATGTTGTTGGAAAGACTTGCTTGAATTCTTAGGACTGTTCAACAAAAAGTCTGGGGAGAAGGGAGGAATTGATGTCCAAAAGAAGTTGCATTGATGGTAACAAAACCTTAAGTGGGAACTGGGAGCTAACTATCATGTTAAGGTGAGTTATCAAATTAGACGAAGTATCTGACTGTAGCAGAGACCAAGTGCTGGTATCAGCTGCAGCTGGGTGGGCTGACAAGGTGAAGGGGACCATGGATACTGGTGCGAGGAGGCTACGAAGCTCTCCATCCCTAAACCAATGCATACATCACGAAAAGGAAGCCAAGCAGGTTAACTGGTCTGGGGAGCGAGCAAAAATAGTGAGGCAATATCACTTCTCCAAAAGCAGGCACTCCCCATGCCAAGAGCATGATATACTGAAGGCTGGAGTCATAATGGGACTGAACTCAAAAGAACTCAAAAATGCAGGAATAATTTTATACAACATTAATATGTATTTTGTGCAATATTAAATATAATATATTCTACTAGAGGATAATTTAATATTGAAATTCATTTAAATGATTGGAGCACATGAAACCATCAAAGAGTAAATGAAAACATCAGCACTACATTTACATGCAGATCAGGTCAGCACGACCGACAATCTGACAGCTAGAGAGATGTACACACATGCACATATGAAAAATACAGGTGCAAGAGCAAGGCAGCAGCCATGTGCACCATCAGAAGAGAAATAGATGGCAAAGCACAGTCAGAGAAGATTTGTGGCTTGCCTTGTGCAAAGCAAAAAACCCATCCCAGCCCCAGGGAGTATTTTCATGAGCTGTATTGTGCGAAAATAGTAAACCAAAGGAGCCAGTGCATGTGATTGGAGATCACTTCTAAAGATGCAGTAGCAGTGATCAAGCATTTTGCTGGGATATGCTACAGAATAAAGAAAGGGGCAAACAACAAGGCATCTGTGTGCACCTCACTCTGAAGAAACATCTATAACCAAGAACTGGCGTAGGGCCCTGAGTAAGATCCATTCCTGAGATGACAGAAGAAACCTTGTCCCCACTGTGAACCCTCACATCACCTGTCCCAGCAGGACCAGCAGGAAAAGTCAGCCCCCACTCTAAAGTGATACCTACAAATTAACAGGGTCAGTGCTGTGTTTCAAATATTTTAAGTCATTAAACTTTATATAAAACCTGAAGGTAATGGAACAGGTAAAAATTAATGAAATCGCTGAGTCACACACCATCATTTTGTTTTGGTTGGGAATCTCTATTTTCATGTCATCTTGTGGCTTCAGTTAATTCTTTGCCTTCTTGCTACCTGGTTATTGAGCAAAACCACGCAACCAGAGCACCGTGGGACCGGTGAACTGCTGACCTTGCCGCAGCTCGGTAGATGCAGATTGATGCACCTTTGTTTTTGTTTCTTCTCACGGTTTCACACGTTCTGCATTCCTACTTCATTCACACTAATCTTTGTATTTCTGTGGCAGATCTCTCTCTACAATATGATGTTTACCACCTACAAGTTACAAGTCAGTGGGGAAAATGGGTTGCCTTCAGCTAGCATTTCTTTCATACGCTTTCTCTTTCTCCCTGTTTATCTCTACTTCTCATGCATGCCACTTCCTATTTCTCCCCTGTCTTTCTCTCTCCTTCTGTATTCCTCCAGGCCAGATCACAGGCAACGCTACTGTGGAGTTTACAGATCTCAGTGAGCAAGGCTCTGCTGTGTTAACTAGGCAAGCTTCTCTCATTAGCGGATGCCTGTAGCAGACCTGCAGCCTCCTTACAGGCAGCCCAGCTGTATCTTACGGTGGTACTCACAAATTAAGTGGTGTCAGGGAATGTCCCCAGGCACTGGAACATACTCATCAGTCCTGTTAAATTGCTAGAACATTTCCTGACACTTTTTTGGCCCGGGACAACTCTCGCTCTCCCGAGCAACTCCTGGGATGCATTTAGGTGTTAGCATGGGCCAGGGACCACTCCCATTAGGCGGCTGGCATGTAGCCAGTTTATTTTGGAGGTTAAGTGAGTTTAATAGCCCAGACCATCTCATGCCAGTTGGCCTCTGTGCCAGAAACAGTCCAGGCATACTTGATTTATTAGCACATCAGGAGCGGGGCTCCCTCCCAAGTGAACATTGATTTCCATTTCATTTTAACTTCCCCCTCTTATTAAACTGGTTTAATTTCCTTCTTGACTTATTTTAATAATCCCTGCCTCTCTGAGGGATAGGAAAAGGAGAGCTGAGGTAGTGAGCGGTCTTGCTCTGGGGAGTGATGCCTGCAGGACCAAGTCTGGCCTGGAGAATATCTGCTTGGGAGAGCAGCTGGCAGCCCCTCGCTCCCTCCAGCACCGAGTCCCAGCGGGCGATGACTGCAGAGAGCTCTCCCCCAGGCTGGCACCGGCATGACACAGGAGGAAACTGAAATTAAAAAAACAACCCAGAAAACTCAGAAACTGCTCCCGTTGCAGAGTAGGCCATCTCCATCTCTTGGTGCGTTCCTTGTGCCTCTTTCATGCAGTGTGGTTTTCTTGTTTTCTTCTCTCGCTCTTGCTTGTGGCTGCGCTTTTGATCTGGCTGCAGCTCGCTCTGCCGGGGCGGGGGGGCCTCCCAGCCATCCGTCCGTACAAGGGCTCCACACCTCAGCCTCTGCTGCTGCACCGCGTTTCCCCTTGCGGTGGCTGCCAGGGGAGAGTTGAGGGACACAGCTGCCTCTTGTGCCTGCACATCAGTTGGGCTTGGCTTTGGGGCTCTGGGTTACAGAGCATCACCTCTCTTTTTCTCAGTTTAAACATCTGAAGCAAAGCTGATCTGGCTCTTTTACTGAGTAGCTGTTTCTTTGAAATTACTTATTAACGTTAAAGGAAACGAACGTGAGAAGCAGGCAGGGTAAGAGACCAAGTGCAACAAAAATAGCCAGCGGAGGGCGAAGAGATGATAGCAGAGAAGGTCATTTCATGGGCCCCACTGTCCCCCCAAGACTGGCTGACCCTGCCTCGATTTCCCCTTGAACGCCTTTGGCCATTCATCTGGGAGCCGCTGCCACCCTTCGGAGCTGCTGCGAGAGGGAGGTGCTGGAGCGGGGTCCGCGGCGCCAGGCAGGTGAAAGCTCCAATCCCCCCCCGAGAGAGGTCCCACCATCAGGACAAGGCAGGGCAGCAAGGCCACCGTGTCAGCGCCACCCATAAAGTGCCCCTGGCCTAGCCGCCTGCCTGGACCCACATGGAGGCCACGAGAAGCGGCTCCATCGCCGCAGCCCGGGCTGCTCCCTACGGACTCACACCTCTCCGGCAGCCCAAGGGGAAGCCAAGACCTGTCTTTACCTCACAGGCATTTCAACATTTGATTTCTGAGCTTTTTCCCCCTCCACCTAGCCCCTCTTCTTTCCTCCTAACCCTCCTCTTTTTGGCTCCACAAACCATCTTTCATCCTGCAGTTTGCAACTGCAGCCCAGCGGTGACTTTCTAAAGCCGCTGGAGGCTGTGACTAGTAAAGGCACTGAGATGCCCTCCGAAGGCAGGCCCTCCATCACCCTCCCAAGCCATGTGCACACTTGGGATGACATTGAGGTATCATTCATGCAGCTGCCAAAATAGGAACAGTGAGATCTTACCATGCAGTTTACTTGATGCGCAACCCAGGTGGGAAAAGGGTCTATATACATATCGATAAGGGTCAGCACAGCAAAATGGCGTATGTCTGCCTATTCAGAGCAAAAATGCATCCCTCCTTAATTTTTCCCTGGTGAATACAGGGTCCCTGTGTGAGGCTGCAGCAGATTGGGTGGGCACCGTCCCTGGGCACCCGAAAACTGCAAGCGGGAATGAGACGGATGCTCAACTTAGATGATGCAAGCCCTGCCGTGCTGCAGGCAGCTTTGGCAGCCATGTTTGTGAAACACTGGGGAGGATAAGGGAAA